ATTGAGGTTGATTACTTTCATCAGAAGTTAACTGGGTTAAAACTGGATTAACATCACAGTATGAATGGCTCATTAGAAGATAAATTTCAACTTGTTTCCATTAAAGGAAATATCCAAGATTGGCCAATTTTTCCTATACCAGTTACCATCCCACCCAAAGTTCTATAGATATAGATGGGCATTTTCTGTTTCTTAGTGCTTATACATGAAGGTTATTTTCCAGTGACCAGTAATGTGTACAGTCTCCAAAGGAGGGTTAAAGATGATGCAGAGCAGAAAGATCAGAGTCCTCAAGATCCCATTGTTGAAGTTATAACACCTGACGTGTACAATAACTATGGTGCAGATGGTTCCAGGGGTTCATTTTCTGGGATCTGGTCTCGGACGTTGAGGGTCAAAATAACTGGAAGAGATGGATTTGAGAAACTTGATGTTAGGATTCCTGTAAGTCATCTATTCTTTATGGGCACAGATATCATATAGTTTTCTTATTGCATAGCATTCCCTTCATAGTGCTTTTGTTGTTAGAACCAAACTATTATAGAAAAAGAAAAATAGAGAAAACAAAACCTAGTAGTTTAATGATGAAGCTTTAACTCTTTTATTTAAAATAACTTTCAACTATATTTTACTTTTCATTATGTAGTTTATGTTTGATTATTCTTTTAAACATTTATCATGGCATCTTTCTGTAGTGCCTAAAGTTTAGGTGATGTACTAATTACATTTATAACCTCAACTATTTCTGGTATTCAGAAAGAGTAAAACTGTCAGTTTTAAGGGCCTCGCACAATAGCTGAAACCTCTAGGAGTCAGTCCTTGTTATGGCAAAACCTCTATAACCTTTTCTTGAAGTTCTTGGTCCAAGCACACCACTTTCATGCACTTCTCGGAAAAGGTTCACCATCAACCTTATTGATAATCCCAAGTTGGTCTTCACTCTTATATCATTAGAATCCCTAAGGTGTTGTGATATTAGGTGAACACTTGAGTGCCAGGGTGCGATCTGCCATCAACTTTAATGGATGGAAGTTGTGAAGACTTTGCAATTTTGGCTTCATCCCGACTCCCGAGGGAACATTTTCCTACTCTAGAAAATTGATAGTAGATGTACAAGGAGGTGCTTATCAAGAAAAATGTAAAGGAGCAGGAGTGGGTGCAGCTATGGAAGCTTGAAGAACAAGAGAAGGCTTCAAACTTTCTTGGAAAAGAGAAGTTTGCCTAATTGTATCAAGGTTTTTCAAGGAAACTACTTTGAGTTGGGTGATTCCCACATCCTGTACTGCGGTGTTTTGTAAAAGGCAGAAGGTTTTTAATGGAGGGAAGAAGGGTGAAGGTCTAGGAAGTTTTCTTTGTAATCCCACCCCATTTTTCCTGTCTCTTAAATCTTTGAAATTATTTCATACACCAATCTCCTGCATGCTAGTTATGATATTTCAGATTGTCTTATGAAAAACTGCTTTCTTTTTTTGGTTAAATACATTTTACAGGCTGGATTCTTGGATGGAATCACAAATATAGTTCCAGGTATTATTCATCTTCTCTATACTTATTGAAAACGGGTAATTACTTCAGTCTGGTAGTCGCTAGTATAACTAAAAGTCCACATATTTTTCCAACAGCTCTCGGCGGTGTAAACATCAAAGAACTGTTGAATGAGGCAGCTGATGAAATGGGAGGGAAAGTGCTGTTAGATTTTAATGACACAATTGGTGATAGGATTCAAGTTTTTCTAGAGTAAATCCAAAGAGGTTTTACCAGTTTAATGCTAAAGGAATTCTCTATATAATATGAACAGTCCTCCAAGACGCTTTGTTTATTGGGTGTTCTCTTAAGAGACAATTTCTCAAATTGGGTAGAAAAATACCAAATGCAGATGCAAGTGTTTAACTTCTATGATTGGTGCAGGGGTAAGACCTACACACTCATACTTGGCAAAAGAAACTGGTGGTGAGAACAATGTCAGGTTTAGAAGAAATATTGTCATAAATATTAGCACATTAAGGAAGAAATGATAGAAAAAAGTATGTACAAAGTTTGATAAAACTTTCTTTTCAAGAGATGGTGGATAAATATTCTTGATTGTGAT